TTGATGCATGCATGCATGCGATGCAGAATGACAGACTACCATTGCGTGTAGTCGTGCAGGTACTCTTCTTCGAGCAGGTCAGGGTGGCTGCGTCATCAGGCAGTAGCACTCCCGACCTTCCTAAAAGCATCAGGGATCTTAACAATGGGTCTCAAAGGAGCTCAAGGTCAACCACTACTAACACTGAAGAAGATTGGGATGCTGTGGCCACTGCTGAGGAGCTCAAGGCTCTAAAGGAGGAGGTAGCTTCCTTGAGATTGGCTAATGGTAGAAATGGTGTAGATAAGGCTGCCAGTAACAAATTGAAAGGGATGCTGAAGTCGAAGAAGATCTTTACTAAGCTCTGGTCAAGCAGAGGAGAAAAGGGTGAGAAGAGTGGCTCGGATTCATCAGAGAGTACTGGTTCTGCTAACATGGAAGAAGCTAAATCCACACCTTCCAGGAATAGGAGGCATTCAGTCTCTTAGTAGAATTTAGTTATTATGCAGAGTAGTTTTCTTGACATGTTTCTTTATTGGCCTTCTACCTATGTTAATGACTCCAACAGCTTGAAAAGAGCGGTATTTTATCTTCAAAAAAGAGCAAAATGAATTGTATACTTTGCAACGACAGTTTCTCTTCTTAAACAGATTTGCAGGGAAGAATAAATCTGTGAATATTACTGCTGCAATAAACGAGTATATTACAAATGCTAGCAAGAACATCATGAATAGAATAAAAATTTCCTGATTGGAATTCCTTAGCAAATGGGAATAATTGAGAATTTAAATAATTTTAGTACGTTGATGTGAAAAATAAATTAAAAAGAAAAAAGAAAAGAAAAGAGTAAAATGCCAGTTAGGTTGGGCCCTATTTTAATTGATTTGGATTTCATAAGGATCACATGGTTTTATCTATATGGGCTACACCTGACTTGCAAGTTCGGGCCACGATTTAAATGAATGGTTGGACCACTAAAGTGGGCCGACTCTAGTTCAAGTTCGGGGGTGGAAGCATTCCTTTGTCGTCTTTCTCACCGGTCACTGTCACTTGGCAGCCGGCACCGCCCTGTGTATGTTTTACTGGAGAAACGGACAAGAAAAGTGTAGTGAAAAAGAGGTGAGGCTGCTTCGATGATAGACTAGGAATGTTTTAACCTTATTGGCACAAATCGAACAAAACAAGCTTAAGAATGATCGTAGTTTGCGCCGTCTGTTCTCCACATAATCGACTCTTTGAATGCCACTTTTCTACACGTCGGGTGGGTATATATGATTCGTACAGACATTAAGGAAAACTACAAAGCACTGCCTTTCCTTTAGACACTTTTATTCTTTAATTCGATATTTAATAAAGATAAATCAGATATCAATCCTTTTAATATATAATTTTAAAATAAATAAATCTAATATTAAGATTATTTTTTTCAAAATGTTCATTTAGTTTTTTTTCTGAAGTAACAAGATTAAGAAAATAAAAATAATATAAAAAACAAGATGAATTGAATTTTATATTTTTTAAACATGTAAATTTAATTACAATAGAAAATTAATTCCAAAATATTTATTAGTCTTTTCCCCTTTCCAAGTGAAGTATTTGGGAACAAATCCTCCCATAATAATTTTTTTTTCTAATAATAAGTTATCATCCTTTAACTCTTATAGCTTCATTAAATTTGTTAAAATTTAAAATATTACCTTTTAAACACAAACCACACCTCTAAAAACTAAAAAAATATACTTTTTATTTAAAAAAACACAAGTTAGCTTTCATTCAAACACCCTCATAACCCATTAAAGCATTGATATTCAAAAAGGGTCACATACAATCTCTTGTATTTCCGAGGAATTATTACAATTTGCAAAATTATGCAAAAAAATATAGTTTTTGTAATATTAAGGGTAGCATGTTTTTTTTTTAATATTTTGTATTTTTTTAAAATTTAAATTTTATTTTTTAAAAATTAATATATTTTTAGTATTTTCAAATCATTTTAATGTGTTAATATTAAAAATAATTTTTAAAAATAAAAAAAAAAGTTATTATAATATAAAATATTATTTGAAAATCAACCATATCTATACTCCTAAACAAGTTCGTGCGGCTACAAGGTATCCAAAAAAAAAATGGTTTTAATAATTTATACAATCCACCGTTACTATGAAAGTTGCCAATAAAATAATTTTGTTGTTAATTCCAATTAGTTGTAAAAATTGGAAGCTTGTAGCTTTGCTTGCGTTTATCTCAAGGTAAATGGTCAGTCTACTGCCTTAAAAACAGATTTAAATTGTCGCATTTAGTCTTATTTCCTATCGTTTATTACATAGGAAGTTACCGAACCAAAGTATAAAGAAACCCCAAGTGACAGAGAAGTCAAATTGTTTCTTTCTTTTTCCGCGGGGGACGGCGGAGGGACTCTAAACTACGTTCAAGACAAACCGCTATTATAAGGATCGAGTTCAGCGAGTTTCTACTTGGCATAGCCTTGGAAAAATTTATTCTTTTAATTTAAAATTAATATTTTATATTTTTATATTTTTTTGATTAGTTGATGTTGGTGTTATAAATAAAAAAATATTATTTTAATATATTTTTAAATAAAAAAATTTAAAAAAACAATTACTACTATATTCACAGTTAACATGCACCATTTAAACTATATATATATATATATTTTGTAATTACCCCCTCGAGACTTAAGCTTTGATTTCAAAGTCATATCTCTGTTCAATTTTGCTTCGATACTTATACCTCTCATGTTTCATGGATAACATAATCAATTTGCTGAGGGTTTTCAAGTAATATATATATATATATATGTTTTTTTTCCCATATGGACAATTTTGGTTAGCTTGGAGTCAAAATTTGGACCAAACTCGTTTGAATTTCTAAGTTAAAAAGATTATGGTTGTTTTTTAAAATATTTTTTATATTAAAATATATTAAAATAATTCTTTTATTTTTTAAAAATTATTTTCAGATCTATATATCAAAATAATCTAAAATATAAAAAAAATTAAATTTAAAAAAAATATAATTTATATAATATTTCCAAACAGTTTTTTTAAAAAAAAAACATGAGCATTGTTGATAGAATTGAGAACGCCGAAAACAGTACCTCATTCTTATAGCTAACGTGAGAGCATTGGAGAGTGCTTTCTTGGCCCACGCAATATACGAAGCCGAAAGTCATTTAGTTGCCAAAGCTTTGTTGAGATTTCATGTTTTTTTTTTTTTTTCACATTTTAATCATTAGCTTATCATTTATGTCAGAATTAATTATGCACATTTTAATTAATTAATTAAGGCTGGTTTTGGGGGCATTTTTATATTTTTATTATTCTTAGCACGGTAAATTCACAGATTAACTTTTATTTCAGAGTTGATTTAGGGATAATTTTATATTTTTAAGTAGGTTTTTTAGTTATGAGCATGTTAGTTGAGAGGTAAATTGGCTTTCTAAATTATATATACATATATATATATATATATAGAGAAAAAATAACTTGTTTTGCGCATGGGAGAAGTTGTTGTGATTTGATAGCGCATGCACCTTTATATAACCAAAAAATTACTTTTTCTGTATTGGATTCCTCACGAGGTCCTCTTTTATCACAGGCGGCGTATGTTGAGTTTTGATGGATGGATTATCATTTTTTTATTCTCTCTTTTTTCTCTCATCCCTCGAGATTCATGCATTTTATTTAAAATCTCATGGCAGTCCTCTTAGTTAGGTATGTCTAGGTATCAATTCTTATTTTTTTGATTTGTTAATTTTATTTTTAGTTTTTTTATTAAAAAATTTTAGTTGCATCTTTTAATCTAGATTTTTCATGTTTTTTTTTAAAAATTTGGTCTTGATTTGTTTTTTTCGTTGTTTCTTTTATCAATTTTTAGTTTTTTTTTAATAAAAAAATTTAATTTGTTGATTTTTTAAGATTTGATCCTTATTTTTTTTTTAGTTCTCATTTTTTTAATTATTTATGATATTTAAAATCTCAAAGAGTCCCCTTGGTTATGTATATTTGGATATCGATTTTTATTTTTTTGATTTGTTAATTTTTATCATTGACCTTTTTTAAGTTATTTTCAATTGCATCCTTTAATCTAAATTTTTCATGTTTTGATTTTTCAAATATGGTCTTGATTTTTTTTCCTTATTTCTTTTGTAAACTTTCAGTTTTTTTTTTAATTTTATCATTTAATCAAAATTTTAATTTTTTAATTTTTTAAGATTTAGTCCTCATTTTTTTGGTGGTTTTTTCTTTTAATTATTTAATAAGATTAATTTTTCTTTTCAATTTAGCCCTTTAATCCAAAATTATTCACCCTTTCATTTTTTTCTTAAATTTTTTTTCTCATTCTTCTAATTATTATTTTTATTTTATTTTTTATGATTTTTTTTAAATTTTATCACTTAACATTTGATTTTTTAAAATTTTAAAATTTTTAGTTTTTCTAAATTTGATGCTTCCAATCAAATAACCGGGTTACAAGTTTTATAAACTGACATGGGGTTCTTATATTTTTTTTAAACTTATTTTATTTTTTTATCTCATCACTAGTTCTTTTAAAAAAAATAGGTTTCATTGTTTTTTTCATATGGTTATTCTATAGTTATGATATAGTTCACAGTTTTTATCTTTTTAATAATTGTTTTTTTCTTTTGAATCCTTCTATGGTATTGATTTTTTTTTAATTTTATTTTTAATATTTAATTTATCAAAAATTATTATTTATAGTTTTTCTATATTTAGTCCTTCTGATTATATACTGCTTCCAAAATGAAAGAAGAAGAGGGAAACAGAAGAAAAGAGAGAGAATCCAATCGATGAGTCAAAAGGCCCAGAAACCCGATTATTCGCGGAAACACGCAGCTGCTCTCTCACCCTCTTCCTTGGAACTCAACCCAACAACAAAAATAGAGTCTTAATTTACTAAACCACGGTTAATTAAACCTAACCATAATTAAACTTCTCCTCTATATATGCATACCTGTCCCCTACTTTCCACTCCTGCTCAAACACCGACTATTCTCTCTGACCAGTATTACTCGTTACCAAAGTAAGAAACCTGTTTTTCTTTGCCTAGAATCTTACTTTCATGCCCCAGAAAAATCTTGAACAATGAGCTGCAGTGGCTGTCGAGTTCTTCGAAAGGGATGCAGCGAGGATTGTGTTCTTAGACAAGGCATAGGTTGGATAAATAATCCCCAAGCTCAAGCTAATGCCACCGTCTTTGTTGCCAAGTTCTTTGGCCGTGCCGGCCTCATGTCCTTCATGTCCTCCGTGCCCCAAAGCCAACGTCCATGTAAGTCTCGAAACCATACATCACACTAGAACAACTATCAGATCTGAAGTTCAATTCTTTTGCATCAAAAGCAATCTAGACTAATTGAGAGCTATTGATAATATTTATTGAAGAACCATTGAAGCTAAAGTTTCTGTTTTGGTGTGGTCTGGTCTTTTCAGCATTGTTTCAATCGCTTTTGTTTGAGGCCGTGGGGAGAGCGGTGAACCCAGTAAGTGGAGCAGTGGGGCTTCTCTGGACAGGAAACTGGCATTTATGCCAGAAGGCGGTGATGGCAGTGCTTCGCCGCGGCACAGTAGAACCACTGCCAGAATTGGAGGGCGGAGTCTTGGGACCAGAATTCGACAGTGTTTCAGAAAGTGGTGGTTTTAGGCCGCCGATAGATCATATCGGTTCAGGATCACAAAAATTGAAGAGAAAGATGAATGATGATGGAGCAAAATACGGACAGACGACTGATCTTGATCTTTGCTTGATGTACCAGGGATCACAGTCACCATCAGAAGAGTCTGAAACCACAACATTGGAGAGTAGTTTAGGGGATAATTGCAGATTCCACGAGGGAGGTGAACCAAAGCTTTTGAGACTGTTTGTTTAACAAGCTATAGGAGCAGCTGAACCATAATAACTATTATAATTACCTGTAAAACTATGATTCTGCCAGAGAAACATATGAACAGTTACTCATGCACTACAGTTGAGGCATTCCTGCATGATATGATCAATCTTTCCACATGAGCGATTGTCCAATTCATTCTTTTCCTTTTTAACTCCAATTTCTTTTCCAGGGCTTCCAGGTAACACGAACTCGAGGGTTCCTGGAGATTTTCCGAATAGCAAAAGTATCATTTCCCACTTGATTTTTTCTAGAGAGGGGTTAGCATGAGTTGTTGATAGCATATAATTATGAGTTTTCTTGCAACCTTGACATGCAGTGTTTGATTAAGATTTGATCACACGAGGCATATATGATTTGAGAATGTTTGTATAACATGAACTTTTAGCACTTAAAGCTCTAAAGAGAAAGAAAACATGACAGTTTAAGGAGCAGCAAAGGGTTGTAAGTTTTAGTGAACTCCCACACATCGTGAGTGTATTGGCTAAAAAAAGAAATGACAATCAAAACAGGACATGTGAATGAACGATCAAAATGAGCCTTTTCTTGTCTTATCGGAGGACAAGAAACATCATAAGAATCAATGAAAGGTTTTGCTTTCTTTAAAGATTCGCCAATGTATTCTATTCTAATTCTTATTATTATTACACATGAAATGAAATGAGAAAAAAGGTTGGGACTTTCACGACTCCATGCACCGGCAGCTCATGTTGATGGTGGGTCATGGACTGTAGCCCCGTTTATCATTGTGGTTGTGTTGTGTTTTTAATTTTAATTTAATTTTAATTTTTTTAGCTTTAATTTTTTTAGCTTTAATTGTGTTGTGTTTTTAATTTTAATTTAATTTTTATTTTTTTAGCTTTAATTTTTTTTAATTAATTTTTTTAATGTATTGATATATCAAAAATAAAATTTAAAAAATATTATTATTTTAATATATTATTAAACTAAAAACACTTTAAATAATAACTCCAAATACATTTTTAAACAAACTCTTCCAATTTCCTATGCGCCGGATGCATAGAAACAATATGAGTTGTCCTTAACTTTTATAATCTATATTGTATTAAAATACAAAAAAAAAATCGTTTCTTTGATTTTGCACCCGGGGTTTTTTATATTTTATAAATATGTACCCATTTTTACTAAAAAAATAATTAGAATTTTTTTCCGATTCTACTACTATACATTGGACAAATCTGTTTTCAATGTAAAAAAAATATTCGGGTAAAAATGTTTAAGATTGGAGTCTTGCTTCAATTAGTAATTTAAATAATATGAATGAAAAAAAAAATAACAATAACAATAACAATAAAAATACAATAAAAAAAAGTTAAAATGAACCAAACATGAGCTCATTCATATTGATTCGCGAATCCTACATGGAAGGGTGAAATTATTTAAAAAAAAAAACTATTAAATTAGATGAACTCACAAACTCCGTAATCATGGACATCAAGGGTGAAATTAAAATAAAATAATTTAAAAAATAACATAAAAAAAAAATCAAAAGTAAACTTGTGTTAACATTTGAAATTGATGATTCTAATCATAAACTCAGGGTTAACCTATAGAAAGCAAACTATAAAAATAAAAAATAAAAAAAAGAATACAGTAGCTTAAAAAACGGAAGGAGCAAAACCAAGCAAACCCGGACAAATCTCTTAAACCTGATCTATTATCTAAAACTCGTAACTCATTCAATCAATTTAATTTTGAAGTATAAAATTATAAAAAAAATATTAATAAAAAAACTTGCAAAAGCAAAAAAGATAGCAACATAAAGAACAAGGATAAAGTTTGATTAAAAAACCTATGCAAAATAAAATTTAAAATAAAAATAAAAAATGATCCAAAACAAAAACCAATATCAATAAAAAGAATGAATATCAAATTAAAAAAATAAAAAAGGTGCAATTGAGAAATATTTATATTTGATAAATTATTTATAGATTGAAAAATGACAAGAGATGAAATTAAGAAATATTTATAATTTTATAGATAATTTAAAATTAAAAAATATCAATAAAAAAGACATGGATCAATGTGAAAGAAAAATAAATTGCAGGGCTAATCTGGTTTTTTGAAGGGGTTGGCATGAAATTAAAGATGTAGAGAAAAAACAAAAAGTTATTATTAACACAAAAAACAATGAGAGTTTGGGGCACTCGCCACTCATTATTTCAGAAATATTGAATGTTTTCAAATATTATCATGGAATACAATGTTTGGTGATTAGATAACCCCACACGTGCTGTCTGAATAGTAGAGAGCTATCAATACGCTAGCAAGTGCATAGGGTAACATGTTTTTTTTCCATAATATTTAATAAATATAACATACAACAATGCTCCTAAATAACTTTATAATTTATAATAAAACTAATATAAAATGATAAAAATAACCCTTATAAGAGAGTTGTGTTGGTTTTGTGTTTAAGGGCATTAAATCAATTACATTATTCTAAAAAAAACTAGAGAGATAAAAATACCCCTAGATAATAAGCATTATATTATTTTATTTTAAAGTCAAATTAGTAATTTTATTGTTAAAAAATAAAATAGCTTATCTAAACCCTATATAATTTATAAAAATTAATTATATCATAGTAAAAAATCACCTTACCTAGTTTAAAAGTTTTATAAAAAGATAATTTTATCATTACTTTAAACAATATTTAAACAATATTTTGAGTATTGGTGTAAAGTAACTTTTATAGGAGAACTAGTTTTTATATTCCAGTTTTGCCCATATTCATTCGTTGATATTCAGAGTGAGGCCCACCAACCATTTCCTTTGCTAGGCACCGCCAAGCATACGCATAATTGTGATATTTGAAAAAACACTAAGATTCATGGTGAATACATTGTGCATCTAGATATATACCACTATAGTTATTATTTTATCTTTTTTTTTTAAAAAATCAATAAATTTATTATCAAGAATACCACTATAGTTATTATTTTATCTTTTTAAAAAAAAAAAAAATAAATTTATTATCAAGGATAACATAGTTTTTTTAGGTACATTAATCATTATAAGATTATGAACAATTATTATCTTTTACTTTTTAAATGTATAATTTAATAATATAATGATTATATTGCCTTAAAAATAAAAAAAAGACTTTAAAAGTTTGAACCGGGACAATTATTATTATTTTTGATAATCGGGGTGTTCGAGCCAGCTTATGCGCACCTCGACTAGTCCCCGAGCTCACTGAACACCCTGCAAGCTCAGTAAGCATGTAAGACACCGCGGGGATAACAGACATATCGTGCAGGGATGGATTCAGGAGAGACTTGAAGGGAAGAACTCTCCAGCCCCACTCTCACTGGGACTCGAACCATATTACATGATGACAAGATGGTTGTGCTTCAATGGGCTTTTTCTCCTTTTCCTTCTTTTCTCTCTCTCTCTCTCTTTTTTAAAAAAATATAAAGTTATCATTTTTTTTTTAATTTTTAATTTTGTTTCTATTTTTTTAATTGTTTGTTTTTTTAACCTTTTCTTGATTGATTTTTTTTTTAAAATTTTACCCCTATCATTTTATTTTATTTTATTTTACATTAAATTTGATCCATAATTTTTATTTTTACTTTTTTTATTTTTTAATTAAATTTCATTTTCAATTTCATTCCTTAATATTTTATTTTGAATTATTTTTATATCAAATTCAATTTACATTCTTTTAATTATTTACAAATTAAATTTCATAATTTCATTTAGTACATTTTCAACAAGATTATTTCAATATCATAATTAGTTTACAGATTTTGCATGCTAAAACAAATAGGCTAGAATCAGTTTTTTTTGTCAATTTATTTACTATTATTTTATTTGTATTATTTAAATTAGACAAGCTTATATAAAATTCTTTTTTTTTCCGACCAAGTTAACAACCTTGAGTATTGAAATTATTTTTAAACTTCTTAGAAATACTTGCATCACCTTATTACTTTTTTTACATTGAAAGCTAGGCCGTGTCATAGCGCACGGTACACAACATTAACATTTGGCAAATAGCCGTCACCATGAATGGTTTCACTCAACTCAGACGCTGTTATGCGACGTGCTAGCTTGTTCAGTGAACTACTAATAATTAAGTAGCCTTGTGACCAGACTTCCAACAACAAGATAAAGAATGAGAAGTTCACAACACCATGTTCAGATTGCAAGATCAAGCAGGCCAAGAACGACATAATTTTGAGTAATCAGATGAACCACCATAAATGATACATATATATACACAATTACTTTCTTTTTGCATTGTATACAGCTAATTAGTAGGAGGCGACAAACCATTTCCCGTCATGGGATATAAAGATACATGGAATAAAAGCAATACAAGACCACAAGTGGTTCAAGAAAATGCCAAGCGTGAAGCCAAAACTAACTATCCAGTCCATGTTTATTACCTTCACCTCCACCCAATAGAAAAGGAAGAGTCGGGTGTCATGTTAGCATTTTAGAGTGAGTGGTCAAGTGAGATCAGTTCTACACATGTGTTGTCAGGCTGCTGGTAGTTGGCAAACGATTTAGTTGTAATGTATGTGTTCTCATGCTACAGTCCTTAACCTGTTCGTATATGTATAATCTTTCGTAAGCAGATGAAGAGGAAAATAATCCACTAATCCTAGAGCAGCCAGAAGAAACAACCATTACCTGCACGATTGCTAAGGCGGATAAGAAACCTTTACATTGTTCAAGCATGCGTCTTTCCTTAGCAGTCACATTCAAAAGTTCATCCACCAACGAATTCATGCTCTCCACCTGTGAATGGCAAATTTTTTTAGATGTGAAGTACATGCATCTTTAAAAAGTCCATGAAAGCGGCAACCAAATGATGTTGAGCAAATCTATTTGCATTAGTACATCTTTTTCATGCCCCTTTCCCTTGATTTATCAAGGTCAGAATAAATCAAGTTATTTCCAGCCATTAAGTGGAGAAGTTAACAGTGAACTCCCAATAAAATTGTTAGCATTGTTCTAGATACCACACGACCACAATGACACACTACTGGTGCTATTGGGTTTCAGGAATGAAAGCCAATGTCATAGGAGATGAAGATGGAATGACTTAGCTAATGTCTCGATGCCAATTGCCAAACAATCAATTTCTGTTCCACTGACTTGAAAGGACAATACAGATTTTATTTCAGGGAGAATGCCATTTTAGGTCTTAACAGATAAAAAAAAAAAGAAAAAAAAGAAGAGAAAACAGGACCTATCTTAGTGCCAGTACATTAAGTCAAAGAGGACCAAGTGTACTTGCCAAACAATAGTAGTACACTGCACTTAAAAACAGGACCTGTCCAAGGTCTACCTAGTCAAACCAGGCAAACCATGAGCCAGACTACGCATAATGCAGCAAACTCCTTCAAACCAGAGTCAAAACTAGGTGACCGAGCTAGTTAGCAAACCCTGACTCTTCATTAACATAGCACTAAAAACATCTTTTAATGCTTTATTGCTCATATATTAAGAAATTAGAAGACAAGCTACATAACTTAAAGTTTGTTGTCGGAGCACTCTGCTATGTTTCAGAAGAATATTTGGCATGCTCGTTAGTTAAACCCCTTTCTTGAGTTCAAGATATTATATACAACTATGATAACAAGAATGAGTCACCTTTGATGATAGTGAGCATATTGAGGATGCCATTGCTTGCATCACGTCAACAGCTGAACTGACAACTTCCTTCAGATTTTGTACATCGGCCTGTAATATAGAAAAGTAAAGTTTGTTAACCTCAGTATTGCTAGTGTTGAGCTTGTAAAATGCTCCCTTTCATCTTAGATGATTAAAACTGAAGGCATGTACCACTGCTTTTCCAACAACTGGAAGGCGAAGGGTACTGGCCTTCAGAGCTTCAGTTGCTCCTTCAAGGGAACTTGAATGATCTCTGTCAAGAAGAGACCATTCTTCTAAATGAGCAATCTGCATTCACCAAATAAAATGAACTTAAGAGATGAAGATGAGAAAACCAGAATGAATAAATACTAAATGTGTTTCCGGAAGTACCAAAATAGAGCATAATAACACTCATCTACTTCAATACAACGCTCATGACTAATCCCTGGGTGTTAGTAAATAATCTTTCATCATGGCATTGGAGAACCATGATATACAAGGCAAATGACCAAATTACATTTAGAAAGTTACTCCTGAAAAAATGATCAATAAACTAAAGAAATCTAGATAAAGCTCTACAAGCATCTATAGTATACGCAAACATCAAGGCCTCTAAATGCTTCACCAGTTCGCAGGAAATTTTTTAATCTCTCAAAATGATTTTAGAAACAATTTTATGGTCTTAATTGTTTTTAGGTCAGGTTCCAAATAAAAGTAAACATTAGAAAAATGACTCTGGAAGGCATTTGGGGCACAGTTGGCTGGTAAGAGCAGGCAAAACAGTATAGATACTCCAAAATCTGTATGCCACTAACAAGTTACATGAGAGAGAAATTGATCAGTCAGGTATAAATACCAAATGATATGCAACCTTTAAGGGCTAAATTGATCTCTCAGGTTTAACTTATCTTTTAACTTATCTACTAATTCAGAAGCTGTGAGTTTCCAAGTAAAGATAACATGAGACAGAAAGGCAAAATGATGGGTTTTTATACCAGGTGCCAAAAATTAGAAATAAAAAGTTTTCACTATTCCCTGAAAACCCCCAGTAAGATGAGACAAGTGTCTCATACTTGGTCATAGAATTCCGAATCTTTGTAGAATGAAGTTGATTTCTAAACATTGCCAAGTTACTTCCAGTTTACATCACTATATAAATTGAAGTTCCCATTATGCATTGCCAGATCAAAACATCAAGATTTAAGCTTAGCATAAATTAATGAGGGCAAGAGATAATCCAGTGGTGAATACAGATAGTTTATCAGAAATATGAAGAGGTTCAATACTGTAACAAAAGTTAAGTGAATCTCTTAATCTTACTTGTCCCTTGAGGATAGAAGTTAGCTTCAGCTTTTGCCTCAGCAATATTAACTTGATTCTTCTGAGAGTGACAGAATGCCGTAGTTCTGAGATTGTTACCCATGCATTCCACAAATTTTTCTGGTAGAAATAATAGCATTAAGAGTGTGAAATCAAAGTAATATGTCTGCTACACATTATTTAAATAAATTGTTTCAGGTTAGGATATAGGGCTTAGAAGCCAGTAGAAACAGAAGTTTCTGTAGGCAGTACTGCAAGAACAAGCTCCTGAATGAAAGCAATGTCTTACAAGGTTAATGCAAACAAAAAACAGTCAATGAAACACAAACCTAGATGCGAAGTATGAAGTGGAGGGCAGGAATACAGTTATACAATTATGACAATTATGAGGTGCATAGAAGTCCATTTATGCTGAATGCTGGTGATCCTATTTGGTTCCTGTTCCATTTTCCTGTTCTCTGAAATGTATTTCAGAAACAAGAGAGAAAAAACTGATGAAATGTTTCTTAATTGTAATTTTGTTTCTTCATGACCTCTCTTTAGTAGAGTTTATGGAAACACATAAAACAACCTTTTTCCTGTTGTTAATTATGGAGCTTTTTTTGGAGAAACGGATTTTCAGAAAATTGTTTTCAACAGCTAGCCAAACAGGTTTTTCAGTCCGGAAAAGGGTTTGTCTCAAGAACAAAAAACAGTTTTCAGAAACACAAGCTAAACTTACCCTAAACTATAGACTTTACTAGCTCGAGCCAAACATGCCAGGCAATTTTGGCAAGTACACAAACAGAAACAAGGTTAGACTCTAACTTTAGGATGCACTTTTCCTTCCATATGCTTTTGGAGGTGAGAACAACACATAAGGAGGAACAACCCCGAATTACTAGAAGAAGTTAAATGATAAGTCAGCCCTTTTTAATCTTGTACCAACATCAAAAGCTCTTGCATCCCCAACACCACAAACTCTGAAACTATCCATAATGGAAGTGTTTGCACCAACTCTCAATCCTATACCACCTTCAAAACCTCAAAGGCAAGGGGACGAGAAGATAATCAGATACTGAGGCCTTCAAGCATTCCTATAACAGCATCAATAAATAATTCTCAAAAGCAGGTCATTGACAACCATTACCTTAATGAAAAGCAATTATAGAAGAAGGGATTTAAAAGTTTTTCCACTGCATTCAATGCCAAATCAAAGCATCTCTCATAACATCCAAATAACACAAGAGGTGAGAATGAAAAATATCCCAACCTCCAATATCCATCCACTTCCCTTGCTTGAGTTTACAATCCATCTCCGCTACCTTCCCTTTCCCATGTTCATAACACCAAAATTACAAAACTAAAAGTGATTTGCTCAAAGAAACAACTTCCTTATCCTATTTAAAATATCTATACTGACATTTACTGAAATGAAATCAGAACTTGCCTCGTATACCTCCTCAAACTGCCCTTCCCCACGTTCATAAGACCAAAATCGCTGAACTAAGGGTCCTTTATTCAAAGTATCAACTTCTTATCCTACTTAAAACACGTATAGTCACTTTCACTAAAACAATACTTAAAATTGTTTTGTCCCCTTTTAGTACTCTTCCAACAGAAACATCCCTTTGAACCTTTACCAATCCTTTATGTACTCTTAATCTAATTGTGAAAACTGGATTATATTAAAAGGTAAGACTTGTACGGTCAACAATCTCTTTAGACACATACAACTTCTGCCCTGCTAGTTCCAATTTGTCTGCCCCACTGTTGCCTTTGATTCTAGCATGTACTTGAATGAGGAATCCAAATGCAATCCAAAGTAATGCATGGGCCCATATATAGGAATTGTCATTGATTACATATACAATGGCAAATGTTTCTTTAAGGTACTCATGGCATGCCGAAGTCCCAGAACTCCACATAGGTTTTGTGTAAATGATGCAGATCACCTAGGAATAAAAGGGAAAGGAGTTTTGGCCATTCCTTTTATCTTAGAGAAAGTACTATGATGTGTAGAATACTGTCTAGGCACGAAGATAATCATGTCGCCTTGCCTCTTAGGAATTTAAGATAGCATATATCCTCAATTTAAGCATGAAGTCTGTGCTTGCCCATAGTTATGCAGCACACTTTTTAATAAAAAGCATGCCAAAGCCATCCAGAAAGTAAATTCCATCTCTAGCAAGTACTTAATCAAGTTTGCAAAATCGTTAATGTTATCCTTTTGATTGTGAACCACCTTAAGTCTAGGTCCTTATTCTTGACCTATTATCTCCACCAAATTCTCAAAAATACACACAGAAATTTACTTGCTTATATTTATGGTTCATGCCCCATTGTTTGGACTCTGGAAGCGAATTCATTGAACACTGTCCTTAATTTTTCCACTCCATGGAGTACTTTTTTATGCGAATAGTCTAAACAATTTACATCATTACAAAGCAAATAACATACAGAAGCTAGCACCCAGTGAAAGAAAATAATAGCATTTTCATCGAGCATTCACTTTCAGATTTGAAATGGACATTATTTTCACGTTCACACACTAAAATGAATACATCAAATATTAGCAATGAAAAGCGAGCATTGACTATTACCAATGAAAAGGTGCATCCACAGGATATAAACTAAGCTAAAAAAAGAGAACTGAAATGAATAAATTGAAAACAACATAATCTAGATGATATTTCAGTTTATCATACCTCTGCACTCTGTCTTTGCACCATGAAGGTAGCATCTGCCCTTGCATTTACAAATCGCCATTGCAAATAACGGTTATACAGAAGCCTCAACATGTGTGCATCGACAATTCTATCCTCCCCCATCTTCCCTCTCCTTAAATCAACAGAGAAACTAAGAATGGAAGGTGTACTGCTGCTCATTGGTCTCATCCTTGAAGGACTAGACATCCCTCTAGACGGAGATGAAAATGAAGATGTCCAAAGCTTACCAGGAGATGCAGGTCTTGTAGCTCCCCTAATAGGTGATGCTGCCATCATTCTTGGAGAAGCCAAAGGACCATCACTACTAAACCTTTGTGATTGAATAGCCTTTGGTGAAACACCCATTCTAGAACCGGGACTAGTAGATAAGGGTGAACCTGGATCTTGCAATCTCCTCATCCTGCTATTAGTTTCCTGCCAAAACCTTGCCGAAACAGCAATGCCACGAGCCCCGGTTTTCCATTTACCAATTTCTGTCACTCCAGAAGTGCTACCAGAGGAGACACTATCACTATCAGAAGCAGTGAGATCACCAGTATAAGATGACTCATTAACTGAAATAGTATCTGTGTTTTGCTTAGCAATATTGCCTAAATCCAAACTCAACCTCCTACCCTCACCAACCATCATAGACTGCTGCAATGACTTAACCCCCACTAACCCAGATCCAACAACCCTCTTATCTCCACCACAACCAACAACACTACAATCCAAACTCCTAGACAACAGTTGATTCCGCTCCTTCAAATTCCCTTCTCTACTCCTGCCGGGCCACCTATGGTGATCCACAGGCCGAGAATTCTCACCCTGATCCCCCACAGGAGTAGCTCTCCTCCTCTCAGGAGTGGCTTTTCTGGCCACGTTATTTTGTGGTGATGTCACAGACTTAGCTTTACTAATTGGAAGTGAAAAGGCCTCACCTTGAAAAGAAACTGATAAACTCCTTGTTGAAGTAATCAACATCTTCGTCGCAGCTGACATTTCAGCATTGCCTTGTGGGTTTGGTGTTGTTTCCCTTGAAGAAGTAACAGGCCTTCTTCTATCAACAGATTGGGATCTTTTAGACCCAGAAAGAAAAGGACTGGCAGTTGTTGTTGATGTTGTGTGTGAAGTTCCAGAATTGGTAGACCTTGAAAGTAACGGAGAAGGAAGTCTCTTTGGGAATGAAGAGCTTGAAGATGAAGAACTTGAAGTGGTGGTGGTGGTGGTGGTGGTGGTCGTTGTCGTAGAAGTGGAAGGAGAGGGAGAGAGGTACCTAGAAGGGACTTGTTTGCCTCTGGGTTTTCTTGTTGCAATGTGTGCACTCCCATTGTTTTGTTGTTGGTCTTTCCCTGCAGGTAAAAGTGGGGGTCTTGTTAGATTAGGGGTTTTGTCAGTTGAACTAGTAGCTGCTGCTGCTGCTTGAGGAAAGGCAGCCACCATTCTGTGTGTGATGAATCTGGTTTACGAGTTTCTCACATTGCCTCTTGAAAAAGCATAGGTTTTACGCTTCTCTCACATTAAAGATACAACATCGTGGGTTTCATGGTTAAATCCTGCAAAAAAGTTGGGGAAAGTTAGGATTTTGAGCAAGAAATAGGAAACCCAAAATGGGTTGCAGATGGATTAGCCTGCATTTTTACCTTTTACTTCTATTTTGGGTTTGAGGGGGATCAGAGAGAGTAGGTGAGAGAGGTGAGATTTGCAAGAGGAGAATCACAGGAGGGCTTATGTGACTCTGTGTGTTTTGGGTGTAGGCTTTGGTGAATCTTTGGAGAGAAGTAATGATAATTTAATTGTGTTTGCGCCATTTTTTAGTTCTGATAAAACTTTCAATTACGGTTAGAGCATGGTTTTCCTTTGGTTTTTGTACTCTACTCTACTACACACCTTGTATAGAGTTCTGGTGTTTGACTGAGAAGGTTGGTCTTTGTTTTTTAATGGTGTCTCTGTCTCGTGCTACACCTACAGAGTACAGACCAGAGGGAACTCGTTATCCTTTGCTTCATTTTTCTTACTGATTAGGTATTTAGGATCATTTTTCTTACTGATTAGGTATTTAGGATTGTGACGGTGATAACACACTTGAATGAATTAAGCATCTGTATAATAACATCATGCTTGTCATTTGTTAAGTACATTCATGATCATGCTCCCTGCCAAGCTATATATAATTCAAGAGTGATTTAGGTTTTTTTTTTTTTTTTTTCGAAGGTAATTCGGTAAATGATGTTTTCAAGTACGCAGATTTATACCATTCTAGTTTGTGCGAGAAAATATATATGATTGCCGAGAAAACAAAAAAAGAAACTGGACATCGACAGTAATTGAACTGTTAATTGATTTCAATTAATTTATTTTTGTAAAATGATTACGGGTGGTTTTCCATATTTACTCACAATTATAGTTCCCTGAAAAGGTAAGAGAATCAAAGCTGGGCTGCTGGGGTCATTTATTATAGATTTTTATCATCACATTACTTGATTTATGAATCTTTCCAATGATGCCTGTGAACCAGGTTCTTCGCCCAAAGGGGTCACTTGAAGGAAAACAATGGTCAAATAAAAAAACAGAGAGCTTGAAGAAGACCCTCGTGCACCGTCAAATGAGCATGATTGAACAATAGTCTTGATGAGAATTAGGCAGTAGAGATACGAATCTAGCTGCTTCAGAGCAAAGTCAAGTAGGATTCTGGAGCAACCACATCTATCCAACCGATCCACAAGCAAGGAATTGTTTTGTTTTATGACCTTGTGTTCATACGAATAATTGAAAAATTGGCGGAGCATCCTCCCACGTCCATGTTTTTGGCATTTTCCAAGCCACTCGTTAGGAAGTCACTACTTTGCTGGTGGATTAGCAAAGAAGGCAGGGTATAAGTCAATAGGCTTTCAATATAGAGAGCAAAAACCAATGATTTTGTAGCCTTCTATGGATATACTTGAGCAATAATCTCATAAAAAAAAAGTAAAAAAAAAACAGTTGAGAACTTTTACATGTATATGGTGCAAGAAAAAAACCAGTTGAAGGTAAAAAAAACAAAAACAAAAAACATTTGTTTGTGGTGACAAACCTCCTAGGTCAATCAATAAATATACGAGGCTGTTGGAAATGCAGAATTAAAGAGCACACAGAGGTAGAGAAAGAGAGGGGTGGCTGAGCTAGACTGAGAGAGACAGCCTTGATGAAAAGAGCTCTCGAGCAGACAAGGTGGGAGTATGCCGGTGTCGTCAATATGAAAATGCTACAATCTTGAAGAAAAGGTTCAGAATGGCGACAAAAACGCCATGTGATTTTTGCAAGCTAAGCTACACAGCCCATTTGTTAGTTAATAATTAGTTTTTTTATGCTAATTAATGTAGTAAGATGCAACATCTCATTCCATCTTTCTCAACCTCTCTAAAAACCCTTGCTTTTAACGCTTTTTTAATCCTGTATTTCTTAGAATTAATTTCTCCCCTAATCCTGCTCAGATTACAGGCCACTATCCCTGATTTCTTAGATCTAGGTTGTACTTAGTGTTATTATTATACATGTACTAACCTAGGAACTGATGTTTTCAAAATGAAATGATATAATCATAATTTTGTTTGATGGTATTGTAGTTGTGGTAAGTTTATAATTTTTTTAAAAAAAAACAAGTTTTTTTATATTTTTTATATTTTTTATTTTTATTATTTTATATTTAATCTATGTATCACTATTTTTTTTCTTCTATATTTTTAGCTTTTTTTATTTTTTAAAAAATTATACTTTAAATATTTATCACTTTACATTTATCTATTTATACTATCTTTTTTTTTTATCTTTATTCTTTTGTAATTTTTTTTTACATTTATTTTAAAGAAAATTATTATACAAAAACTATAAAAATGATATTTTAATGTAGCAATTACAATATTATTTTATTATTCACGTTAAAAAATAGCCTAAGATTTTATATATTTTTATTAATGTATATAATATTTATTATATTTTATTATATATAATTATTAATTTTTTAATTTATAATTATATTTTTTATTTAATATAAAAACACGTTAATAGCATCTATACATTGATTTTTTTTTAGTTGGAAAAACTAACTATTAGAGCTGCATCAAGGAAAGTTGAAAGAACATATTTAATATTTTATTTTTATATTTATTGGTATAAATCATTCTCAATGTATTTAATTAAATGGAAGTATATACTGTTTTTTTATTTATAATTAGATTTTCTTTACAAAAAAACACATTTGAAACAATAACTATCTAATTACTAACTGAAAAGGTTTCGGACAAGAGGCAGCTTAATTGCCTGAATTCAACAATTATGTAATATATATGTTTCCGAACCATGAAACAATAAATTACATGTAAACAAATTAAGGTCAGCTTCCCTGGAAAATTCAGCAAAGTTTCCTTTTCCATTGAAGTTGTTTTCAATTTGGTGGTCGGTCCCGATGAAACCATATCTAGTTGACTTGTTGTGCCCAGAAAAAAGTAAAAAGCAATTATAGTCAACTGTAAAAGGAAATGGAGAGAAGTAGGGTCGTCTGCACCCTCCACATAACTTGAATACAAATTGATGCTTCCAGAGTTTTAATCCCCATAATATATTTCTTAAAATAAATACTTTATTGGTGGATAACACTTGAGAGCACAAGAAAGGAAATATACCATGATGAAAATTGTTTAAAAAAGAATTAAATATGGTGCGAGGTAATGATTTAGAAAGGATAAGATTTAGATATCATGGTGTATTTTGATAGGAAGAAACAAGTTTATTCCATAATATTCCAAATAGAGGGCATCAAAGGTTACTGAATAAAGACATCTTCCAAAAAAACCAACCGAAGGTTTGGTCGAGTGGTTGTTCTGTCATCACCGGCTCTTACAAGCTACAAGGACTACGATCAGCCCTTCACCGTGAAAATGCACAAGAATTGAAGGGCGACCGCTAGAGGAGGAGGAGGAGGAGGCCAGCGGCTTCGAGCAAAAATATAGTTATATGTTTATTTTTACTCCACAGGTGACTTCGACTGCACATAGCCATGTAAATATTTCTCTTGCCCTTTATGTTATTAAATCTTTAATTGGATGAATTTTATCTCTAAACGTATCTTAAACTTTTCATATAGATAAGATTCTTAAGCTACAACTCAAGGATTAGACACATGATTTACTTAATAATCTAAGATATTAATATATATATTCAAATATAAATTTATTATTGCTGGTAAATATCATATTAAAAACTTAACTTAGTTTTAAACTTAGTTTTAAGAATAAAATTGGTGGTGCTTGGAAGTGTAGAGTGTAGTAATGGTTATTTTTTGTTAAAAAATATATTAAAATATATTTTTTATATTTTTTTAAAATATTATTTTTAATAACAGCACATAAAACTATTAAAAATATATAAATTTTAAAAGAAAAAAAATTAAAATTTTATAAAACATCATTTGAAATGTTGTTCCAAACACGTCTAAATTAAAGATATATAGAAGAAAATACCCCCATTATATTGATGCATTGAGCCATCAAGTCTAGATTTATCTATTAAAAATTAACAAACAACTAAGAATCAGTGATGAACCCAGAAGTAAGGCAATTCAACATATCTAAGGATGAAAATGGCGCGTTAAGAGCTCTGGCTATATGGAGAAAAGAAGATAAGAAGACTTGTGGAAGGAATGTGACTTGAAATAAACTCCATGCTACAATTAATTTAAAAGCAAAACAGAGCACTTAAGTGATGTTTGTTTAATTTGGTACCAATTAACCCACTTTGAAAGTGAGAATATAATTGGGAGTGCGATTTAGTCTAGACCCATAACTATCCAGCATTGGTTTACCTTTCCACCTCAACCCAACCCCACATATAAAAAGATTGCGACTACTTGTTATTAAAGAAAATAATAAAGAAAACAATTGGGAAAGCGATTTGTGGTGCATGCATTGAACTGTGCTTCATAATTTCCTTAGAACCGAAGATTCAGAGGCAACTAAAAAGAAGCACGGGGTAAAAAAACATGAGGGCAACGTCTTGGAGAATTTACACAACCTACCATGGCTGACCTACAGGGTTTTCTGGAATGAAAACATATTAAACAAACAGCTTAATCAGCATGTGTCTCTAAAATGTAAGAGATGCACTAATTGAAAGCCTATAAGCTTAAGATTTTCTGTTATAAGAAGTTTCATGGATGACACGATTATATTCTCTCAGGGATTTGCATTCCAGGTACTGAGGATAAGGTTCAGGGCTCAGTTGTAACCACGAGTAAAAATAAATGATAATGGTGGGAAGGAGGAGGAAATGTGGTATCATCCCAATTGGAGAGATGAAGCATTCATGAAAATCCCAGATGCGTGCTTCAATGATAGAGATGATTTATTGGTGCTTGAAAGAAATGTGAAAAGGGCACACTGAATACCTTGGAACAGAAGAAATAGTAGTAAAGGAAGTTGGTGAAGGAGATTGTTGCAGTCACTTTTAGCTTGTATGTGCTTTTATTTCTCATTTAGGTGATTGCAGTGTATGTGACCATTTACGGTTACTTAACAGCATGCATCAGTAGTTAAATATTGTTAGGCTAAACCTTGTCAGCTGGAACGATGCCTGGGCAGTAAAAGAAAGCAAACTGATGCCTAATTCAAGGTTTCAGTTTCAGGAGTCACAGAATGAGTCTTAGCTATGCAAAACAAATGCCATTTTCAGAATCTTCATGCCAAAAACAAGCATTAGAAAAGTAAGTTTGCTACAACGAAGTATTCATGTTTGCCTTTTAGATCATCATACAGGCAAAAAAACTAAGGGCAGCTTGCGATACAAGCTGACCCTGATTTAAGACTTCAGACAACAACCTGAACTTTGAAATAGCTCAGTCTTTCAAA